TTTCTAAAGAGACCAAGTATGAGGAAGGAGACAAACCTTGGTTCCAACATTGATCTATTAGCTATTAGTATTATCTCAAGCAGGTTGTTTAACCTCTCATCCTTCAGTGTCTTCATTTGTAAGATGAGAATACTACTACGTACATCATATAGTCACTGAAAGTACTGAATAAGAAACACATACAAAACTATGCTATCTACCCTAAGAATCATGTGCAGTGTATGCATGTATTGAAACAACACACTGTACCCCACAAAAATATAAAACTGAAAAAAAAAAGGATTGAATAAGAATTATCTAATAGATCTGACAGAGTTTGCAACTAAGCACTATCCCAAAGACGGCCAATGTTTAATAAACATTAGACAATGAAAAGAAAAAATTGTATACAAATCAGTAGTTTCATTTCTGGATGTTGCTTTAGGAACAGAAAAATATTTTAAAGGCTAAATCAGTAAGGAAGAATATAGGAATATATCCAACTATAATACCAGTGAAAAGAAAGCTGCCATATAACAAAATTTTAAAAACTACAAAGGCTTCAACTATTTAAAGTGTGTACAGTACTTTGAAGGGTAAACCTTCAGACATTCTGAAGCAGATCCACAGTCTGAGTTTATATGCAAAATCATTCATGTGCATTTTTCTTGTGAATGGCTCCTTGCACTTTGGCAGATTCTTTAAATAGTATCCAAAAGAGGCCTTGAAAAACTGCTCTATTCAAATAAGATGGCATTATTATTAGTGAAGTAAAGTCCCACTAAATAACTCAGATCCACACACTGAAATACTTCAGAGTGTATAAAACCTCCACCCTTGCTCTGTGGTCAATTCATACACTTAATGACACTTAGAAAATCCAGTGCTGGCTGACTTGCCAAGCCTCAAGAACATAAACAAGGGTGTGAAATGAAGAGAATAGAACCTTTCAGGTTACAAGAGCCTGAAACACAACTCAGAAGTCAGCAATGGGGCCGGCCCGGTGGCGCGCTGGATAGTGCGCCGCTTGGGAAGTGCGGCGGCGCTCCCGCCCGAGGGTTCGGATCCCACATACAGACCGGTTCCCGCTCACTGGCTGAGCGAGGCGCGGGAGCAACACCGAGGTTTGCAATCCCGTTGCCGGTCCCCGGTCCGGTATGGGGGCAACACAGAGGGTTGCAATCCGTTGCCAGACACGGAAAAAAGACAAAAAAAAAGAAGTCAGCAATGACCATGAGCATCATTTTTATAGACTGCAGGTGGGGGGGAGGGTGAACACGAGGTTTGTGGTTACTAAGGGAGGCAGCACTGAAGGAACTCAGCTCTGGAGACCTGAGTTCAAATAAAAAACATCTGCTTTACAAGTTTCCACTTATTTTCTTTAGAGTTCGAGTTTTCTCATTTGTAAAATAAGTCTATTGGATATCTCTGCCACAGAGTAGTTGACTATTTTTTAAAAATCATATACAAATATTTGTTGACAAATGTATTTTTAAATATGTGCACTGCCCTACAAACTTGTGTTAAGAGATAGCAAAGATAGTGCCCAGCCCAATGACAACACAGGTGCTCAATAAATAGTAGCTAAACAAGTGTGATGTGACTTTCTTCCCAACTGACCTGGAAACACTTGCATAAAATACCGAAGGCAGACAATGCTGCTGTCATACAGCTTTTTAAAATTTTGAACTGCTTTCCAATATGCTGCCTAAAATCTCTTCTGAACAACTTAGAGCTTGGTCTCTGATAGAGTCAGCCCATCTTCAGTAAAATCAGACACCTTATTGCTAAATCCCTCACTGAAGTCTCTTCTGGCCCTACTACTTCCCATTCACTCAACAAGTATTTACTGAATGCACACTAGGTATTAAAAAAAACACATGGAAAATACAAAAATATATCTTTCTTCTCCTAAAGGAAAGTACAGTTTAGTAAGCACAGAAGAATGAAGTTCCATTCAGCAAGCATCTAATGAATGAACACCTACTATATGCCAGCACTATGTTAGGAACACCAAGATTTGCATGGGCTCAACCCTGAATCATGAGCATAGAATAATATGTAGGAGATAGGCATGTATCTCAACAGCAATAACACAAGGCCAAGTGCCAGAAGTATGAGTATACCAGAGTGACCTTTGCAGACAGGCAGGCCAGGGTTCCAGTCCTGGCTCTGCCACGTAACTAGCTGTGTAATCTGGGTATGCTGCTTAAATTCCAAAGGCATCATTTTTTCATCTCTTCTACTGGATAACACCACTTCCTTCATAGGACTGTTGTGAGGATTTAATCAACTCAGATAGCATTTAGAGTCTAGCACATAAAAGGCATCCGATAAATGGTAGTTATTATCATTAATAAGCATATTCCTTAGATATCTGCTTAGTTCTAACATATACCTGGGACTACAGGCACAAAGAATAAGACTAGCTCTCCACCCCTGATATGTAAGCCAAAAAATTACCATTGGCAGGATTCCTCCTTTTCCAAAGATAAGGATTTGTGGGACTGCTGTGAGAGCACAGAGGGAAGAAGAAATGACCAAATCAAATCTGGCTCTGTACTCTGAACAGGTAGGCACTTGGAAAAGTGGGTTTGGGCAGAAAGAGGTATCATGAAAGAAATAAAGAACAAAACAAAGGAGGGAAATTTTAGATACTATAGTTGTGACAGTATTCTCAGGAGCTTCCAGTAAGTGAGGGTGCAAAGCAGGAGTTAACAAGAAAAGCAAGTTAGGGCTAGACCGCGGAAGGCACAAAATACCAAGCTAAGGAGCATGCACTTTATCCTGGATGCAGATCTGGGGACAGTGATGTAGCAATGAGGAAGATGACTCTGACAGTAGATGGGCTGGAAGAGAGGGGAGATCAGAAGTGGGAGGCCAAGCAGACACTGCTGAAATGGGTTGGGCAAGAAAAATGAGTACCCTAGTCCAGGCAAAAGTAAATAAATAGAGGCAGGGGCCGGCCCGGTGGCGCACTGGATAGTGCGCCGCTTGGGAAGCGCGGCGGCGCTCCCGCCCAAGGGTTCGGATCCCACATACAGACCGGTTCCCGCTCACTGGCTGAGCGAGGCATGGGGGCGACGCTGAGGGTTGCAATCCCGTTGCCGGTCCCCGGCCCGGTGCGGGGGCAACACTGAGGGTTGC